ACGAGTCTAATTCAACGATAATTAACATATATCTCAAATTAAAAAGATGTGAGTTCGATACCCTACTTCTACATGTTGTACTAAAAAAATAATGATAATAGAATAAGAAGATAAATTACTTTAAAGCAGACAATTACATAGGGCAGAGCCAAGAATAAAGAAAAAAGGCCATTGGCATCTTAGTTTGTCTAAAATTAAAAGAAAAAACATATATAAAGGAATGAATTTTTAAAATATTTTCTTCTATTGTTGTCCTCTAAAAGATTTTTAAATGGAAAGATTATATTAAAATTTTGTTCCAACTCGAGTATAGAATATATATATATATATATATAGATAGAGAGAGAGAGAAATTATAGTGGGTGAAAATATTTTATCATATTTATAAACATAGTACAAAGAGTAAATTTTTATAAATACGACAATATTGTAGGACGGCCATCTATAAATATTTATCACTTGCCATCAATGATATATGTCTATCGTTTATTACCATCTATCGTTAATAGAAAGTGATAAACATCTATTAATGATAGACGTCTATTAATAATACATATCTATCACTGAACAGATAAATGTATGCGATTGAGATATATTAATGAACAGAGTTAATATTTACAAATTTTGTTTTAAAAAATAGATTTGTTATTGTTTTTTCTATATGTTTATGGTCATGAATAGAAAATCTTTAAGGCCATGATTCAAAATCAAATTACATCAATTTTGAAAATACGATTTGAAATGATCTTTCAAAATAAATTAATTTTTTTAACATATAAAAACTTATTATATGGTCCCTTTGGACTCTTTTATATATATATATATATATATATATATATTTCAAAATACGATTTGAAATGATCTTTCAAAATAAATTAATATTTTTTAACATATAAAAACTTATTATATTGTCCCTTTCTTTGGACTCTTTGATATATATATATATATATAACACATACACTTTGAGATCACGGTTCATAATCAAATTACATCAAAATAGGATTTGATATGATCTTTAAATATAAATTAATTTTTTTTAATATATAAAAACTTATTGTCCCTTTCTTTAGACTCATATATATATATATATACACACACGTACATACATTAAACACGATCTCTAGACTTTATATTAAAGGATAAACACGACTTCTAGACTTTATATTGAAGGATTAGTCGGATCAATTTTTATTATTTGATTAATAAAATATAACACGACCTCCAAACTTTATATTAAAGGATTAGTGTAGTAATCAAATCACTTTGAGATTAATTTTCATTATTTGATTAATAAAATATAAATCATCTCATTTAAATTAATATAAGGCTTCGAAATATAATATCACTGAGTTATAAGGGTTTGGTAAAGAGCAAGTATTATTTTTGTTATGGGGTGTGCCAAAAAGATGGACCACTCCAATAATCATGTAAAACAATAAAAATTTTGAGGTGTTGCATTAGAGTTAATTGGAAATTGCGTACCCTAATTATGATTTTTTAAAGGCAAATTAAATTGTAGCTAAAATTGACTAAATATATGTTTTAGTCTATAATATTTATGAGTTTTTTTTTCCAAAACTTTTCTATTATTTAAAACGTTTCAATTTAGTCTCTTATGTTTTGTCATTTTTCAAATGTATCATTTACGTCGGATGAATATTAAAATTGGTTGATGATAAACTTACTTGACACATGATCTTCAATGAGTTGGTAAAAATATAAAGAATGAATTAGATCACCTCCAAATTTTTTAAAGTTGGTAAAATTTTCGGTTTCCTTTTCTTTTAATGACTTAATTTCTCCACTAAATTTCATCATCCAATTTTAACATTAATCCACGATAATGTTATATTGGAAAATATTAAATTAGATTGAAGTTTTTTAAACAACATACTAAATTGAAAAAACATTTCAACATACGTATTTTATTTTCTTACATATTAAAACATATATTTAACTTAAAAATATCTAAAATTATATAATTTTTAAATAAAAAATTATGTTTTAATTTATTCAAAGTTGTTTTTAAGTTCTGATGGGATATCTCAATTTTAATTATTTAATGTCATTTTGTGTTGGCCTAAGATATGATAAAAATAAATAAATTTTATTCTTTTCTCATACGCTTCTTGCTTAGGGGAATCTGTCAATGCATCCAATGCTTTCCTTTTTTCTTCTTTTCAATTTGCCGACACTTCTTTTAATCTTTTTAAAATTTCAAAGTTTTATTTTTGTTAATTATTTTTTATGTTTCTTTTACTTTGTTTATTTTAAATTTTTATGCTTTTAAAGTTTTATTACCATTCTTTGTCTTTTGATTAAATTTTATCAATGTCCCATCACTAATAAAAAATTATCAACATCTTTAAAAAAAATTTGCTAATATCTTAATCATGAGTTCACGGTAATAACAATAATAATAATAAAAAAACCGTTAATCTATACTCAAATTTAACACGTAATGTTTGAGCCCGAAATTGATGAGCTCGGATATAATTTAGATCGATACGTTCAAGACGAACTACGGCTAACGGTCCCACACCTTTCCTGAGCACTTTTGAGACCTGCAAAACAAAGTTTGCACTCTGACGAGCAAGTTAGTTCTAGTTCGAGCTAACTTGCCGAGTCTACTTAGGATTGCGTACCTTGCATTTAAGGCAAGAGTTTCTATTTATAGAAATTGGGCCCGACAGGGATTCTGACACACCCTAAAATCACGGCGTGTTGTCGGGTACGGAAGAGACATTGTTACGGACTTTGTATCAGCTCAGCTCGGCACTGTAGGTCCTACCCTGACTGCCGACCTAAGTATTTTGGAGTCGGTTTCTACATTTCGTCTGCGTGTTTAACCAACCCACCTTTTCGATCATGACACGTGGCAAGCCAAGATTCGCATCCAACACGTAACATTTTTGTTTAATAATCTAGAGTGTGAAAAAGTTATATTGATTGAGAAATATAAATTGAAGTAAGGCTTTAGGACATTATTTTAGTTAGAAAAGTAGAAATTTTATTATGACTATTACTTTTTCTTGATTTTTATTTTATACTTTTTTTTTGTCATATGCATTGGATAAAATCATGATAAAATACCATTAAACCCAAACACTTAATTAGATTAGTAATAATAATTTAATATTTTTAATACATACCTTTCATTTTTTTTAGTAAAACATGTGTGGGTGGAGGATCGAATTTGTTGATGCATAAATAAAGGTCGGACCTGTAAAACATAAAGTGTAGGGTGTTGTGAGCATCTCAAATAGTAAATTCAGGGAGATTGTTGAGTCAATTATTGAGATTTTCTCATAGCTTGCTTTGGTAGGCGCATAAAATAGTGGAGGATCTAATAATTGGATTATTAATATTAATTGGAAAGAAAACATAAAGATTTAGATCAAAAATTCCCCTTAATACTACGTTAAACTACACTTAAATTGATAAATTAAAGAAGAAGATGATTTAGATGTGTGGATGATTCCTTCTGAAATTCTAAAACTCACCTATCCAACAAGAGACTACTCTTTCTCCCTCCTACGTAGCCAAAGAAATGACTTGTGCGGAAGCGTTGAAGGTGTGTTTAGGTGAAAGAAGCTCGGACAATAGATTTAGTGATCTTAGATAGAAATAAATTGGGGGAAGAAACAACGTTATAAGATTTGAACACAAGACCTTCTATTCTAATATCACGTTAAATTAAACTACTTTAAACTAATAAATCACAATAAATTTAATATTTTTCGATATATTCTTAGCGGGTCGTACTAATATGGACCACAAAGGTTGGTTGTCTCACCAATCATACAATATTGTTTAAAGACATTTCCTTTTCATAAAAGGATGATTACATTCAACATTCAACATTGTTATATTATAATCTCTCTCCAAAGAGGCATATATAAAATGGCAAAGTGATTGGGCAATTGATGGTGGAGATCAAATGGAAGGAGCTCCTACAGATTCTCGTCCTGCAAATGGAGGACATGGTTCACACAGCTACTCCAAAAACTCCTTCTATCAGGTGCCAAGTTTTCTTCTTTTCTTCAATCAATGGATAAAGCATAAACTTATGAGTTCTAACTCATCATCAAAACACAAGATAGTGTTGTAAAATATTTGAGTTCTTTTTTTCTTTTTTTTTTTTAACAAAAATTTATAATAGACATGGACATGGACTCCTACCAATTGATTTGAGATAAAACTTATAAATATTGATGTAGTATTAGAGTAACAAACGTTAAAACGAGCCTATGATCTAAAATTGGGATTCGACGAAGATGGATGAGTCAAATTGCAGCTTTCTTTAGTAAAAGTATAGAAAATTTTATTTTGAAAAAACTACGGTCAAATTTCATTTGCTCCTAAATTTTGAAAAACGATTATAGCTTAAACTAGTTGGGAGTAAATGAGGCAATTGGTTCCTAGATTCTCTTAAATTAAAAAA